TACTTCCCCTACCCTGGGGCAGGTAATTTGCATTACAATGTAAGGTGGGAAGAGAAGCTAGCTGCTTGAGCTGCTGCTACCCCTCCCTTGGGCTCTTGCTCTTTGCCGCCGCCATGAAAGGTTGCTTTCTGCTCTGTGCTGCTCTGCCTTGGACCCAGATGAGTATGGACTGAAACTTCCAGTAACTGTGAGCTAAATAAACCTTCCCTTCCTTCATTTTGAGTGTTGGGTATTTGTCCCAGCAACAAGAGAAGAGTAACTAAGACAACAAGAAAACTGTTACTTTACATATACTAATATGTGGTGTATGCTATATGATATATGTGTTAATATTGGTCTAATTTGGCTCAGTGAGCTTTGACTATACTATATAATTAAAGAAAATATAAAATAAAACTATGTAATAAATTCCAACCATAAAAACACATATAAAGTTTTGTGCAGAGGCACCAGGTATGTTTTAATTGGAAATTCTTATTCTTTATTCTATTTTCAAAGAACAAGTATTTTTAGGTTGGGTATGATAGCACACACCTTTAATCTCAGCACTCAGGAGTCTGAGGTGGGAGGTCACCATGAATTCAAGACTAGTACATAGTGAGCTCCTGTCTCAAAAAAATCAAGCATGTACTTTAAAAATTAATGTCACACCTTTAGAATAAAAAAGTCAGTAGGGATTTCTGAAATGTTGCTTTAAAAGTTAACTATAACTACCAGGGGATCACAGTGACAAGTTTGTAAACTTAGAGAAGTGAAGCTATCAGTGTGAGCTCACACAGACGAGTACAGGAAGGAATGGTGGCTTTTGCATGTGACACTTAGATGTGAATTCTATGATTGGGTTATATGTATAGCCAGTGGAAAGACAGTTTTAGAACAGTATGTATTTTATCTTTAAGTGAGACCAGGAAATCACATAATCAAAAAGCTACTTACTGTGTGTTTCCATTTGCTTGAAGAGAGGTACGGAAAAAGCAGACCATCCTCTCTTTGTCTCCACCATCTGTTTTCTATCACCCTACCCTTTAGTGTGTTCATAAAACTGTCAGTGGTTCTGTAAGAAGTGTTTAGTCTCCCACCCTATCAAAGCCCTTAAAAATCTGAGGGAAGGAGGGGGTTGAAGTAGAAAATTACCTGAGGGCAACAGGGAAATTAATGGTGTATTTAACCCATAAATTAGTGGAAGAAAAATTAGGAGAAACCTCTGCCAAGCAAGGCTACCTCTGAGTGGGAACAAAGGAGAAGACTGATGGCATTCTACTATTATGCCTGTGTGTCAGCCTGTGGCCATGGAAACCCCCTATCTCATGTGTCACACCCATCATATGTAATCTGTCAAATGTAGCCTCAGATAGATATACACACATACCAACAACTATGCACATACTACTTAATTAATTAGACATACAAACAGACACACATAGGTGTTTATAATACTAAGATATACAAAGACGTGGATACAAAATTAGCAAGTGAAAAGATAAGTGAAACAGTTTCAAAATAGATGTGGGAGGGGAGGGCGTTGAGAGACAGAGTTGGTTGGACATGGTGTAAAGTGAATAATTGACTGACACAGAGACCAAGAGAAGAATGTGCAGTGACAGATTGGACTGCCAAATTTCTCTTTGCAGCAGATCGAGGCTTCAGTTACTCTCCATGTTGTGTCTGGACCCCCTTTTCTGAGGCAAGGATTTGGGGCACCAGGCTGTCTGCAGGGAACCACCCACATCCGATGTTCTCTCAGTTCCCTGTGTATAACACACTTCCCAGGCATCTTCTCTCCTTTCCCTTCCTCTCTTGAATTGGGTTTTAGGCTCCATTTCTCTGGGTTACTCTACACGTTCTGCTGAAAATACAACTCTGTAGTAGCAATCTTCATAAAATGTGAATCCAAGTATTAATACAGAAATCCTTAAATATACATGTTTGCATTTTTTATATTTTACCCAAATGAGAACTGGCGTTATATGTATAGATACAGAGAAGATAACAGTAGAGAAAATTTATTCTATGCACAAACTTTCATTAGTATGAAGGAACCAGGGAGTGAAAAAGGAAACCATAATCTGGTACTCTCTTTTCCTAAGAAAAGGCACTTATAATAGACATTTCCAATTTATGACAACCTAAAGCCCAACAATTTAAAATCTATTCACTTGAAATAACATCCCAAAGCATTCACCACTCATATACCACATAAGAAAAATAAAACTTTTGGAATAAGTTATTATTAATATCTGCTCTTCAATCAGGAGTTAGAATGCTATGTTGGTAACAGATCTACAGAATAAAAATACATGCAACTTTTTTTTATCAACTGTGAAAGAATTAGATCCAATAATTGAAAGGCCTGGTTGAGCATACACACACTGGAGAGGAATCTCCAGGTAAGGAGTCACTTCTAAGGCAGTTAGTTTATCAGCGAAGTTTTCTCTTCTTGAAGGGAGATAGGACAGGGAAGGACAGGGGGAGTGATCAGCCTTTAACATTTCAGTTCCATGCACAATCAATTGAGACAGGGCCCAGCTGTTGGAAGGCTCCCAGGAGCCAGGACCCAAAGCCCTTACTGCATGGCACAGATGCTGTGGGGGAGGAACTCCTGCACGTAGGTGGCAGCTGCCTTGGAGAGGTAGGTCATGGTGCCAAACCTGCCACTCGGTGCACTGTCGTACAGAAGAGTGCAGATGCCAGATGCAGGATCCTTTGCCAGCATGGTATCATCTGCGCCGAGAGTTTTCTGTTTGGTTTTTAAGAGTGGGAAAATACAGGGGAAAGGAAACAATTACTAATACTATTAGCTAAAATCCTAGAAAACATTCTCTCAGGCTTTCACAGAAAGCACATTGGCCAAGCAATGGCCGTGACTCATCCACATGGCTGACACTGACAAAGGTTCTACAATCTGAGGTACAGGATCTCAGGATAAATCCTGAGGGGATTTCACTGACCTCAGACCCAAAAGCTACAACTCTTGCTGCATAGGTCCTGCTTTACCTTGGTCTTAACCATCCAGTAGAAAAGTATGAACACGAAATATAAGAAGTAAAGCCATGCTGTTATGTTGAGCTGTGGGGGACTCAGGTCAACAATTTCTGACATTGCCAGTTAAACAGAAGACCCAATGCTATTATGGGCTACTGGACTCTTTTAGAATATTTTGCTGAGTTTACACACCTATAATATTCAATAACGGAACTTAGAACAAATGGGGTATACCGATGAATGTCCATTTTGTATCTGTGTATTCAAAGTGGTTAGGATAGATATATAGTTGCATTCTCTTAATGAATAGAATGATTTGTTCTAATGGTGTTTGTAAATAGGATCTCAAGTCCGCATCTTGTACAGCAATTAACCACTAAGAAGAATGTATGCAGTGTGTTAATTATTGAAACTGTCCTACCAATTCGATTTGAAACTGTCTCATTGCTATTTGTTTTTCAATAAAATTACGGAAAAAAAGACAAAAAAATACTAATTAGTATTCTCCAGAGCCTCCTTCCCATCACCAATCAGTTGGCTTCTAGGCTGTGTAGGCAGGAAGAGATCAGGGTTATGTACAAAGTGAGTGAATGTGAGTTTCTATATGTGCATTTTCCACTAAATCCCCAAATAATGTAAATTGTTTAAAATATTATTTGGAGCTTTCCCAATTACAATGAATTTTGAAAGCTAACTATACAAAGTTAATTAAATGTCATACCTGTTAAGAGCAGAAACAACAGATACAAATCACTATAGTGGGACTTGGGTCTGACTCTTTCTAGAACTATACTGATTTCAGCTTGTATTCTTTTATCTTTTATTCAATTAAGCAAATTTAATGATCCTTCTAAGGCTGAAGTCTATACTTGAAAGGGGTCATGTTTTTTGATGCATGGTCTGTCAACAATCTGAAATATTTAAAATTAGGAGTGTCCCAGGAAATCTTAGATACTTTTTTTTTGCATCTTCTTACACTAAGAGAATAAATTATCTATTATACATTTTAGAGATCTTTTTTTCTATTGTAAATAGGCATGGCCTTCACTTTATATACTCCAACTTTTAATCTAGGCAAGACATTCAGTAAACAGTTTGCATTTTTAAATATAGTCACAGAGGCATAGCACCTGCCTGGCAAGCACAAGGTCCTGAGTTTGATTCTCGGTACCAAAAGAAAAAGAAAGTCAATTTCCTGGGAGTCATATTAAGAAAATCAGAAAAATGCAGAAATAAATATTCCACTTTAACAATTTTTTTAAAGGTAAGTAGTAAAAGCAAAGGAAAAGAAAGACCAATTTTTTTCTTTTCCTTAATAGTCCAAAAAAGGATATGCTACACAAATTAATGTCTTATTAATTCTGTGTAGCTACACAAAACATTATGTTTAGGAATTTAAAATATAATGTTAATGCTATGCTCCAGGACTTCTCAGGAAAACATAATACCTCCTGAAGTTTAGACAACTTTACTGTCTAACACAAATCACAAAACACATGGGGTGGGGAGGATAAAAAGAGGTTGGAGTTGATCAGTGCGCAGCGTATGCTTGTGTTGAAATGTCACACTGACTTCATTAATATGTACAACTAGTGTATGTTAATCAAAAATAAGATAAAGTGGACTAGGGGTGTAGCTCAGCAGTAGAACACTTGCCTAGCACGCATATGGACCAAGTTTCATCCCCAGCACCATAAATAGATTAAAAATTTTACTAATTTTTAGGGGGAAAAGTAGTGAGACAGAGGTCACCAAGCCACCTACTTTTTTTTTTAGACAAAGCTCAGAACCAGCACAAAGGTGGTTCCAAAAAGGGACACAAGGAATAGAGTACAAGAAAGCAACCTCAGCTGCATATGGAGCCTGGGATGCAGCTTTGTGTCCAACATTCTCTTTGAGAAAACCACAAGTCTACCTACCTGTTCTTGAAGGAATAAGTCATTAGCTATATGCACTATTTTTTCCACAGCAATGATGCTTCCGATGCTGTGGATTTCAATATCTGCCAACATGGTGAGGACAAGAATGGCTTCAACCAGAAGCTGGCGGTATTCTGGCTGAGGCACACGATTCAGGACAGACTCCACATGGACAGAGAACTTAATTTCTCCTGGAGTCATCTGTAATAGAAAAAAAGAAAATCAGTTTCTAGGAGCCTATCACCCCTGAGGCATCAATCACTTTCTCTGGAAGTCACCAAAATACTGTATGCACGAACATGGTTTCATCCCCTTTAATGTAATAGATTGAATAAGTGGGTTCAATCGTTTTCAAGGCAGTCTGGTAATGCATAGCAAGAGTCAATACCTCTAATTCATAATCATATTTTTGGAAGTTCATAATAAGAAAATAATAGAGAGACCCAGTCCTAGCCCAGGTCCAGTGAGTGTGTGGAGAGCTTCCTGCTACCCTGCGCCGGCGG